AAAAAGGATGCCAGCAAGGAAAGTGGGTCAGGAAGAGAAACAGAGAAACACCTGACAACAGGTTGGTCTAACAGTCTACCTAAAACCAGCTATGCCTGGCTGTGCTCACGATCAGTCATCAGTCACTGTTCTACGTGCTGGAGTCCTTCCTATTCAAACAGAACATGCCCCCGGGGATTTCTCACCTGGACGCCTGGACTGTGATTCAGCAGATCCAGGTATGGGGCAAGTGCACACGTATCTGGCTCTGCAGAGAAGCATCCGAGCTGCCTGTGCCTCAGGTACACAGCTCTGGTGTTAACAGTGCACCAGGCCCACAGGAAGGCGCTGTAGGTGAAGATGCTTTCAACCGCCTCTGAGAAGAGAGGCTGCAGGGAGGAGAAAAAATCTCTGGAGGACGTAAAAAACTCCTGAACATGAGCCCTCTGCTCTTGGGCCTTTGCTCTTAAAGGCCTGGGAAGAAGATTCACCACTTTCGGTTCCAAACAAACAGGGCAGGTGTAGGTCTTGGGTAGAGTCTCCAGGTAAGGCTTCCAGGGAGACTGGTCCCCAGCATGCTTTTCTGAGACTAGAAAGGAACATAAAGCCAGCAGAGGAGATGGAGGCGGCTTCCACCTGGGAAAATTAAACAGGTTTCAAGGAGTTACTGTTATTCAAAAGATAGAATAAGCTAAATGCACAAATATCCTAGTGGTTTGTTTTACAACCAAAAGGATTGTACTCAAACTGTCAATCACTCCAAGTTTACTTAAGGGACCCAAGAGTTTCTTGCCTCCTCAGCCCTTCAGTCTCTGAAGCACACCAACTGCAAGAGATCTGAGCAAGTCCCACTGATGAGAAAAGAAGTGAACCACTAGACCAAGTTCCAGGTCTGTTTACAAGAGACTCCTCTTCGCAAAAACCTCTTTACTTCCATCTTCGTTTTCCAGTTTGAACACCTGTTGCAAGTCCACTTGCGTCACTTAGGTAAGAACATAAAAATTGGTGAAAAGAACCTAGACCTACACCGTACAGTACAGGAGCCACTAGCTAACCCAAACCAAAAACCAAACCCACTGCCGCCACGTCAGTTCTTACTCG